AAGAAATAAGAAGAATAAGGAATATGTGTTCATATACCACCAGTGCCTCTGCTAGACCTTCTGCCATTGCATATTGATTTTGAGCATCGCCATTGAAAGCTAAACATGATAAGGTGCGGATAAAATAATCCACATCACTTGTCCACTGGATATATTGGACTTCGCAACCTAAATAAATTAAGGATTACAAAAGAAACAGATTTAGGATTTGTACCCTCGAAAGTATATGGGTTTTGCAAATATCCTGTAACAAGAATATTGACATATCATGTCACTGAGACATGTTTTTGTGGGGCCCACTAAATAATAGAAAAAAATTAAATAAAAAAGTATTGCACGGAAAATGATCTGAGAGCTGCAGGAAAACCAAATTCCTGTAACATGACTTTTGGTTTTTCGAAAGTATATACATGTTGATGGTTCAAATAATGGCATTATATGTATTATGAAATTAAAATGAGTACACAACTGATATATACTTATATATATATATATATATATATATATATATATATATATATATATATATAAAACCAAAAAGAAACAATGATAAAAGACATACCCAAATCAGAATTGGCGTTATACATCACTAATCCAAGTTGACAAGTTGAAAGATTATCTCCCTATGGACAACAAGTGGTGTTTGATAACTCATGCAGGTTTACTCTTAACAAAAATCATAGCATTGAAAATTCATATAAAAAAAAACTTTTTGGTTCTAGTTAGAAAATTACCTGTTCTTGAGTGTTGTGACAGAAGCACCTGCATAATCAACAAAAGAAAGATAGAATACTTAGAGAGCAAAACCAATTCATAAACTAGGCATTACATATTTATATATTAGGTTGAGCAAATATCTGAATGCAATTTGTCAACGTGCAACTTATTTGAACATCCTTTTAGTAGATTTTAGGTTCAATTCTAGTTATTAATCCTTTATTTTTTATTCATGGATAATATGTAAGTGTTGCATTAAACATTCGTTAAAGCTTGTGAAATAAGAGACATATATGTCGAAGTATTGTCTATAGTTATTCTTCATGAAAAGATCAGTACTTAATTGTAAGCATTATTTTAATTTTGTTTTGGGATTTATTAAAAATGTAACCGAGTTTAACTCGTTCCACTAGCAAGAAGATCATGTTATCTGGCTTAATTAAAGCTATGGTTATCATAACAAATATAGGAAAAATGCAAATTATTATATAGAGAGAAAAACACTAGTACTTGAAATATTAGACAAACAATAAAATAAAAGGGGTCGGGGACAGAGAGAGAGGCACGAGTACTTGAAAAGAATAAATTAATAAATGGTATGGTAAAAAGATTAAACCTTGACACTATAAATTTGAGTTAGGAAGTTATCTTCTTTCAACGGAGTTTTTTAATATGGTTCAGGACCATTATCATCCTCTCATTGACACATATTTTTTTGTCCATTCCCTTTCAACCATCCACATGGGTCCCACCAGTGAATTGGAGCTCCTAATTTTTTGTGTATTTGGTGTGGCTGAGTTACAAAGATTATTACAATTTTAAGTAACCTTAAAATTTTCTTCAAAATCAACGGTGTGTCCCTAACTAGTTTTGCAGCAGTGATTATGTTACAAAAAAAATGATTCGCATTAATTTGATTTAGATTTTAACGACTGCAGTTGAAAATTATGGTGTAACAATTAAAACTCAGTCTCTGTCTGAGCTATAACAAAAAATACAAATAAACATAAAAACTCAGACTTCACGTAGGTTTTACAAACATAAAAAAAATCAGTGTTTCTTTGTTTAATTATCAACATATGTTTGTTTCAAGAATTTGAGTATCAGATGTGTGTAGCAAATTATGGTGCATGTTATGTGCATGAGCAACAAGAATTATCAAACCTGACAATCTTATCAAGATATTCTGAAACAATCCTTTGCCAATAAGGTTGTAAGGCTGAAGTTCCGTCAACCACCATATTCAACCATTTTCCCATCGTTATCTCTTTATCTGTGACCTGAAATGAAGCTGCTTGAAAATGTAGAAAAAGGGTAAGAGAGTGAGAATTTAAGAACGTTTCTTTGATAGTTTATATAGCATTATTTGCTGCTTCAATGATGGATTCCAAATGACTAAGACTGAATGAAATAATATATGCAAGTAAAATATAAGGTTGATTTTTTTTATTTTATTTTTTTGTATACAATGATAAGAATTGAGATTTAAATATAGAACTTGATACAAACTACACAAATCTGAAATGATTTAGAATGCAATAATTCAGCCAAATAAACTAGTATCTCATTAACATAATGCTTGGCTGTTTGATTCGGAACGGATTTTGAGATTAATATTTTAAACTGCTTTTAAAAATAATATTGAAAAGGATGAAACACATACTCTCACGCTAACTTAGTTTTCTGGCGTGAATTAAGCCACTGCATAAAGATATATTTAGTAACATGCCACAACTGTGCCATAGCTTTTTCATTGATGTTCCCTTTGGGTCGGTGTGCATTGAACTTTTTGCAGTAACTCAAGCATGTTAGAAGCCTTTATTACCATTAAGAGTAACCTTTATCAGCCATAAAGTCCACATCATGTCCCTGCATTTTTTCCATCTAAGTTCCAAACCGTGTTTGATGATGGTCTCTCTCGAATATTTCTATTCTTTTTTTTAGGCCTGAATGAGATCATTTGTTGTTATATTTGGGCTGTTAGAATTTTGTTGAAGCAAGCATGCGATTTGGCTCAACTAATATTGCATCTGAAGTTTCCTTGATGTACAGAAAATATTCATTATAAATTAATTATTTGTAACCATCTCTATAAATTGATATTAAAAAAATTAATATGAAATTAATATATATTTCTTTTTACATACCAATTATAAGATATTTAACCATGATACATAATAAATATCAGAACACAATAAAATCCTGAATATAACAACAACTTGTGCTTATCATATTATATATTTGTTCCTCACTAAACTAACGTTAAATTTAAAAGCATAGATAATATTGATGAAAAACATAAACAATTAAAATCAAATATATTTACCAAAAAAAAAAATCAAATATTTATACGATATAAATATTTTCTATGTATATAAACTAACTTTTTTGTAACAACTGATTATAACTATGCATTTTTTAGAATAAATAGTTATAATCGAAAAATTATTTTTTTCTTTCTCTCTACGTTCACAAATAACTTCTTAATAGAATGAAAAAAATAACAGCGTTAAGATTATAACTATATATTCCCGAAAATATATATTTATAATCGATTGCTGTAAAAAAAATTTGTATTAACATAAAAAAAGGACCCATATAATTATCATAACAATGTTGGTGTTTTATTCCTTAGGGTTTGATTTTCCTACCTTTGTTATACCACCTTTATTAATTTTATAAGATTAAATAATATGTAATTATGCTTATAAGAAATATAATAAATTTATTAAATAAGGTAATATTTAATAATAATGCTACAAAAATTATAGTAAAATATACAAGATCGGTCCAATCCGGTGGATCGAATTAGGACTCCTAACCAGTCCGGCCATGCATGCAACATGGTTAAGAATCGATGAACTGGTCAAAAATCGGGTTTAATCGGTGATAACCTTGTATTTATTTTTCAATTGAACCAATTTTTTAAAGTTGTAGCAAAATATTTCAGCATAATTGTACTCTTAGGATTGGAACTTGGCACCTAAAAAAGAAAAATAACATGCTAACCACTAAACCAAATTACTTTAATTGTTATATTATATCTATATATATGTTTATTATATATCTTTTCATAAATTCAAACAACTAACCCAACCAATAACCCTTGACCAAATACTCTGGCTGAATCGATGACCGATTCGAGTTTAATATCATTTGAAAAAAGTGTCTAACGTCAACAATGATATGTAATGTAATAGTGCAAAGTCTATTTTTATTTAAAAAAACTAGTGATATGGAGATAAAAGTTGAGAATAGGAAAAAAAAATAAAAACACAGCAAATGTGATAAAACTAACTAGATTAACCGTAGAACACCTCATACGAAAGTCCCTTTCAATTAAGTCAGTTCACTTCTTTACATCTTTTTATTTTAGATATTTCTAAGTAATTTATCTTTTTGTAATTTTTTTAAGCAGACTTTCAATTTTTTTATTTCTTTTTTTTTGTGAACATTTTTTTATTTCTTTTAGTTTTAGAGTAAATCCTTTTTTATTTATAAAAGAATGAATATCATTATTTTAGTCATTTAAAAGTTGTTAACACCAATTAAGTTTATTAACATATAAATAATATGTTCACATGAGTTTTTCTAAACTTTTAATGTCTAATTTATAAAGTATGAACTTGATTCATTTGTATAATTGAGTTTAAAATCAAGCCTAATTCTATTTGTTTATAAAACAAACCAACAATCAAGCATAGATTTGTTATATTACAGCAAATAGAAATGCTTTTCCTGCACTAACAAAAAAACATGGCCCATGAGAGTTTCAAACAACAATAAAAAAATAAAAAGTTAACAGCGATGGTTTTTGTGTGTGTAGGATGGAAGGGATTTGTTTTTTTTTTTTTTTTTGGAAATGAAGGGATTTGTTATGTAACATGACTAATACAACCCTTTAGGGAGCGTTTGGTAGAGAGTAATTTTTTTTTTTGTCCAGGAATCTTAATTTTCAAAAATATAATTTTTATATTCAGTTTACAATAATATTCAAAAATTTAAAATTAAAAAAAAAATCAGTTTCTCGATAATCTTAAAAAAAATCACGTACCAAACTACCGTTAATGAATTGAGTCCAAATACCTCACAAATATCTTAACTCAATTAATACATCTATATAAAAAAAAACTCTCACCAATGGCTTCAGCCACATGGGGTGAATGGGCCTCACACATGTATTGTTATTGGGCCACTGGAAATTATCCAAATTAACAAGCCCATTCCACAAGCCAGTTCCTGAAACCAGTCAAGTGCAGACCAATTTTCCGAGAAAAGCGAGAGAAAAAGTGGGGGGAGAATCAATGAGGCCTGCTTCTCAGAAATGGGGCTACATTCGGATCATCAGTGGTACAATCCTCGGAGGCATCCTCGGATTCTACGTTATGCACCGTGCTGAAATTAACTATAAGGTTAGGCATATCACTGTTTTCTTCTCTCTTCTCAATTTGTTACTCTGCCTCTTGAAAATTTTATGGGTTTCTGAAGCTACCCAGTGGAGGTTCCGTAGCATTTTTTGAAACCCTTTTTCTTTTTCTCTTCAAAGATTGTTGCTTTTTCGGTGTTTGATGTGAGTGTACTTGTGTTGAGTACAGGAGAAAATGAATGAAAGGCTAAGAAACTATGAGGCTGAATTGAAGAGGAAGAAGCAGGAGAAATTGAATGAGTTTGAGGAATCTTCCAAGTTTTGAACTTGCTTTCCAGATTGTAACATTTTTCTTTTTCGATGTATTCTTATTCTTTCTGCGTTTGATTTTTGAGAAAAATCGAGAAAATTGTTTCTGATGTCATAAGGAGCACAGTGGCTCCTACATGGTTATATAATAGAATAATTTTTCTTGAAGATGCCCCAAGTAAAAGAGATGCATAGAATGGGAATATGAAAACATATGAAATGTGTTTTTTGACTGTGATGGTGATTAAGTAGGTTCTGATCAATTTATTTTGTTGAAATTTGTTGTTATAATTACCTATTGTATTTATACATGTGACACTAACCTATTGTTAGATATCAGTTAAAATTAAAATTGAATTTAATTGGTTTAATTTGATTAATAAATCAACTTTTATATTTGAGAGTTATTAAAAAAAAGTTTTGAAACTACTTACAAATCAAATTTTATGTTTAAACGCGAATGAATTGATTTTATGTTTATAATTTACTTTATACTACTTAGTACTCTACATGAAAGAAATTAAACGACTTAACTAGTGAAGAGAATTAAAATCCAATCAGAGATAATCAACTTTAAACAGTTTTTTTTGTATAAAATCGATAGTTCTTATGTAAATTTCCAAACAAAAATATTTATAAACAAAAGCAACTTTGTTAAAGGCACATACCAGAGAGTGATGGTATTTGGTGGCTGCTTATGCAATGTTGCTACCTTGTCTTCCTACAGCATCTGGTGTCCACCCTTGTCTTCCTTTGCTTCTGTAAAGAATGAATTCAACCTAAAAGCTTAAGCTGTTAGGTGAGGCTACATTAATGGTTTTATATATCTCAACAGCTTCATTTTTCTTCTGCACACCCTCTCACCCTTTTTTCTCCACGTTGTCACCTTCACTTCCATAATCAAAAACTTCCATCAAGTACAACATAGTTTCTTCTTCTTCACATGACACATCATCATGTACAACTGAAACATTCACACGGGACGATGTCTTTGGCATATCTCAGTCTGGACCTGCTACAAAAGACCACTCTTGTTATCTCCAAGACTTCTTCCATAAAGTCCAACTATGCAACCATGGTTGTGTAAGTTCTTGAACCAAAGTCAACATTTTTGCGCTTGAAAAATCCAGAACCATGTGAATTGAGTTTACACGTAGTTTATGTTATTAACATTGAGATTGCTTGTAGGAAAAACAATCAGAATTCCTTCCATTTGTCATTGAGGGCCATCTGGTTGGGTTCATTCACAACGGGTAAAATTTACTTCAATTTTATCTTCTTTTTTCTTGTAAGGTGATTGTGTCATTTCATGCTTATTTATTCATGAATGTCCATTGGTTAACCTTGTTGGGTTCTAGCTGAATCACTTTTTTTACCTTGTTCTGATTTTTTCTGAAATGAAGTGCTGCACCTGCACCTAGGCTAATAATAGTTGTGGCAGGTTTATTGGCTAAACTTCAAAGTTGTTCAGGTTTGTTGAGTATTTGAGGGGCTTCAGTGATGTGCTTATTTTCCCCAAAGACAAATATAATGGAGGCCCCTTTGGTGACTGTGTTTCATTACCTCCAATGCTGAAGACAGCAGGGGAAAGAACCAGTGCAGTTGGATATGTAGTGAAGTGTTTGGGGAAGGAGTTGATTCCAGGAATACGGAATGAGGTATTGTATTAGTTATGATAAGTGTAGAATATGTCAAATTTCTTCTTTGTTTTTATGTTTTTCTATTTCTAATGCCTAAGTTATGCTTCTTGACCCTGTTTTATTAGCTAACCCCAGTAAAATCATCATTTGGAGGACCCATATTTTTTTCGTTAGAAGGTGCTGCAGCTCCTTATTTTGGCATAATGGTACATTCACAAATGTTTGAAGTCATATGTTCAGCTGTTACATTGTTAATTCTTAAATCTGTTCTGCCTTGTAATTGTATGAGGTTTAGACTGTTATTGCTACTATTCAAAGGAAGAATGTTAGCACACATATTTATCTTTCTGGGGAAAAAACCTAGTTTCCCTTCATTCCATGTCATCATGATAGATGCTCAAGTTGACCACTCTTAAGCCACCTATCATATATATACCAGTAAAATGTACATGATAGAAGTTCATAGATGTTGTCTTTTGATGGTCTTGGCAGACAGGATTATGTAGTTTTCTAAATCAAGTAAATACAGTCACTTATGTGTCCATTACAAATAAAACAATACTTATGGCTTTCCATTTTCAAGTATATAATTCAATAATACTTATGGCTTAACATAAAATTGAAGCAACTATGAGCCTGTTTGTTTCATCTTTTAAAAAAAGTGACTTTTATCTCTTCCTTATTTTAAAAGTGCTTTATACAAAAGTTAAAGCTATTTATATTTTTATAAAAATATTTAGTTTTTGAAAAAAATATTTGGCTTTTGACTTATACTTTTTGTAGAAGTTAAAATTTTTAGCTTCTGAAAAAAAATAGGTTTTTGACTTTTTTTGTGACTTCCGTTTTTTTTAAAAGTAGACATCCAAATGAATTATAAACGAGAAGTGCTTTTTTTCAAGAAAAAAAAGCAACTTTTGAAGAAAAAAAAGCCCATTCAAACGGGCTTCCATGCCAATTAAGTTTCATGATAAAAATCCTTAAGCAAACCAGTAGCAGTATATTCATTGTCAACTTGAAATTGAAGCTTGAACTTGCACTGAATACTGTGAATTTTCAATCTTAATGTGGGCACCATTTTTATACTTATGGGCTCTTGTTTGTATTACTTTTCATTTTTAATTTGTTTTATTCTTTTCAAAGAAAAGGCTTATGGAGTCCATTTGAATGGCTATGTTGAGCTCGATGGGCAGAAGCACCTATGGACAGGAAAGAGAAGTCACATGAAATCCACATATCCCGGACTGCTATATCATCTAGTAGCAGGAGGAGTGGTTTGTAGTTTCATTTGTATTTGTTTGCAAAGTTGGCCAATTAACCTGAGCCTGTGGAGGTTTTAGACATTTCTCCTCAAGACTACTATTACTGTATTACCATATATGGAAATCATTTTGCCTTTAGGGCCTGTTTGACACATTTTTTTTAAGCCAAAACCTACTTTTAAGCTAAAGTTAAAAAAATAAAGCTAAAAATTGTTTGGTGATTATATAAAATTTTGATGATGTTCTTGGGGTTTTGAAGAGGGGACATGGAATGATTTGCATTAGGGTACATCATTAGGGTAACGGATAAAAAGAATAAGGGTAGAACTAGAAAATAAAATGAGGACTCCAAAAAGCTGGCATATATCTTAAAAAAAAGCTCCTCTTGGGAGCTTTTAGCTTTTCCCTTTTTTATTCATTATGAAAAAAGCTCTTTTTATGATAAGAGCTTTTGTAAAATTATGTTTGGCTGAAGTTCTACTTTTAAGGAGAAGAGAAACTAAAAATAAAACCTGCCAAACAAACACTTAGTTAGGAACTGAACATAGTTAATAATGTACAACATTGAATGAAGATAAAAAATACCAGCTAATATGATCCTGATACTGTTAGTGTTCCCTTCAGCCCAATGTATTATCTATAAGCTTTTGAGTTAATTCTATCGTTGCAGCCGCATGGAAATAATTGTCAGGAGAATGTTGTGAAGGAATGTAAAGAAGAAGCAGGAATACCCAGGTCCACACTTGCTTCCCTACCTTCAACCCTCCTCCTCTAGTGCATGAAGCTTGATTTTTCTTTTGAATGGTGAGCAAACTATATTTCTTTTTGTGCCTATGCTCAACATGTTTGTCATGTGTCTGTACTAAGCCTTTTTTTTCCTAATATAAAACCAAAATGGAAAATCCAAATAAGTAGTACTCTTTTTCTCTGTCTAATCTCTTTAGATTTCTTTTCTCACAGAGCCATACCGGTAGTGCTGTTTCATATATGGACATTGATGTGTATAGATACAGGAGAGGAGTTTTATTCTGTTATGATTTAAAACTTCCTGAAAGTTTCATACCAAAAAATGAAGGTAAGCCCATTAAACAAGTTCTTCAGTTTTACTGTTTTATGTGCTCTGATCACCTGTAGAGAATCACCCGAACTGGTTAAATAAATATCAGATGGAGAAGTGGATAGCTTCAAGTTGGTCCCTATTATGCAAATTGCAGAAATCATACGCAAGACACAGTTTTTCAAGCCTAATTGCTCTCTTGTAATCATTGATTTCCTGTTTAGACATGGGCAGTTCTTTCTTTTATTCCTATCTATTTGCTTACTTTTTTTATTTTTATTTTTTGTCCCTATTTTAATATAAACTATTAAGTTGATAGAAGATTAAACATATATGATATATGTATATCAAAATCCTTAAATGCATATAGATGGCAATGTAATCATAGTTCTGTTCTGGAAACTGTTGTTTTTTATCGTGAGCTACTGTGCTTATATGGTAGAAATTCAAGTTTGGTGTATTGCCATCTTTCCCAAATTTTATGTGCCTTTGGCGTAGTGTTCACAGTGGACTTGGAATCTCCATTCGCTGTGAATGCATGAGGAACATGTAAAGTACTTCATAGTTATACAAAGTAACAAAAATGAATTTCTTTTACACTGGTTCTCTTAGTTCCCAAGATTATTCTCTAGGTGCCACGAGTTAGAACTTGATGATTATCTGTTTGTTATTGCAGGTACTTCAATCCTGAATATTTTGGATATCTGATCTCCTACGAAGCTTAAAAATGGGAGATTGCTCCTGACACAGAAAGCATCATGACTATTTATGTGTTTAGATTTTTCAGTACATCATGAGCGACTGAAAAAATGGTTAATCCAATATTATCTTAGACCCTTACATTGCATTTTTTGAGTAATGTCTTCTTGTACTAGCATATTTACTTTTTGTGACAACTTTTATTGAATAATTGGTGAAAAAGGGTCTCGTTGAGACATTAAATATGTTCAAAGAACTATTACATGTAAAATATATGACATTCTTTACGAGTGATAATCCTTGCACAATCTTACACTCACGCCCTCAACATGCTCATGCAATCCATTGAATAAACCCTTTGTTTTTATGTAACTCTTTTGGAGTGGTCCATATTGTACGCGTACTTCACATAATTTGTCTTTTTCCTTCTTAGATTCTGTCGTCAAAAAGTTGCTGTTTGATTTTTCTTGTTTCATCCCATTCAAAAATTCAAGAAGATATTTTCGTCCAAATTAGGTGTCTGAAATGAATTCGACGGCCAAGATTAAGATTGACAAACTAGGCTTTACCATCCCCACTCACTAGCCAATTGATCAAAGAAGAGATCAAAAAGCACCCAACCCGAGTACTTCAATATCGAGATTTGTACTATTTATGTGGTTCTTATACAGACATCCCAAGTGTGATTATGTTTCTAGAAGAAGAAAAACGACACTTCATGCTGGAGCATATAAGAATTTTTCGCAGATATCATATCAATAGTCAAGAAGCAATGGTGTAATCTATGAATTAGTAGAGGATAAGCATTGCAGCCATGACGTACAGAAAAATAATGAAAACAAACCAATTGTAAAAAGATACACAACTCCAAAACCTACTTCAAAAGGTGGGAGTGCTCAAGAAAGTCTTATAAACTCCACATTCGTTGTACATACAACCAATGTGACACTATATATCTCAACACGCTCCCTTACACGAGAGCTCGTTGGGCTAAAAGCGTGGATATTGCACAGGCCCAAATTTTGGTTTACCTTTTTGTGCTTTAATTTTAATTCCACTTTAAAGTGGGGGGCGATGGGGATCGAACTTGTGACCTTATAGTCACTCAAACTCTGATACCATGTAAAGAACTTTGAGATACACCACCTCAAAAGCTAACTCAAAGGGTGGGAGTACTCAAGGTCTTATAAACTCCAAATTAGTTGCATATACAATCAATGTGGGACTATATATCTCAACACCAATAATTCACTAGTTGCGAATAGTGCATGTCAATACCATATTTTCTTTATTAAACATTGTCTTAATGAACATTCTTCCCAAATAATGAAAGATCTTAAAGTTAGAGTTTCCCACAGCATTGATCTTTGAGAAAATATTTTCAAGTCAAAACATGTTATAGATATATAATTAATTAATCTTCACCTAACAACTTAAATTTTTAGAAGATATAGTTGGTCATTAATATGGCATTAGAGTCATGTAACAAAATAGTCAAGAATTTTGAGATGGCTTAAACTTCTAATAAAGTCGATTTTTGATCAATTAAAGTTAAGATTTAAATGGGCCTCTTTTAAGGGCATGTGAAACATGAAACACCTATAAAACTCACCTTATTTTGTTGACCGAGCTGACAAAAGAATGAGATTTGGCCCATAAAAAATATTGGGCCAAATGGCCTAAACTGACAGAAATTCGTGGGTTTGTGATAATGATAATCATTAATCAGCACTACAGAATAGTAAACATGAAACATGAAACTGACGAGATACCTGTTGTGTATTGTGTTTTGTTGCTGAACTACACAAAGACCAACTGCGTGTGATCACAAAGACAAAGCCAGAATAACGGGAATGTCTTGCTACCTATGCAAATTTGTTACCTTGTACAGTGGCATCAGTTCACGACCCTTTTCTTCGTTTTCTTCTCTCTTCTCTCACACTTTTCCCTCCACATTTTCACCAACAATTCCCATTAAGCACAACTTGGCTTCTTCTTCTTCTGCGTCAGCCTCTGGTACAACATTAACATTCACATGGGACGATGTCTTTCGCGTATCTGAATCTGAAGCTGTCACTGAAGACCGCTCTTGTTATCTCCAAGGCTACTTCCACAAAGTTCAACTATGCAATCGTGGTTCTGTGAGTTCTTAGCACTGTTTTATTTCGCTTCCTTTGAGAAGACAATGAATGAATGAAGCAAAGTTAATATCTTTACTATTTTTCCCTTTTCTGTGGTCTGAAAATGGAGAATCCTTCTCAATTTTCTCCAATTTAAAGTTCTTGAGACACCCAAATTGTGCATTTGTGCACCTTTCCCCCTCTTTTTCAATAAATTTTATTTTTTTAAATTTGGGTCTCGCTAATTTTAAATTGTGGGATCCACTTGTTTAATTTATATTTATTCTAATGTATTGATGCAGTGCAACCATAAGTATTGAGTTTATTCATAGTCTGTGTTACTTACGTTGAAATTGGTTGTAGGAGAAACAATCTGAATTCCTTCCATTTGTCATTGAGGGCCACGTTGTTGGATTCATTCACAATGGGTAAAATTTACTCTAATTCTATGTTACTTCTTGTAAGATGTTTGTGTCATCTCTTGCTTAGTTATTCGTGAATGTCCATTGGTCAACCTTGTTGGATTCTATCTGAATCAATTACTTACCTTGTTGTGATTTGTTATGAAATGAACTGCTGCAGTTGCACCTAAGCTAATGAAAGTGGCAGGTTTATTGGCTAAACTTGAAATTTGTTCAGGTTTGTTGAGCACTTGAGGGGCTTTGATGATGTGTTCATTTTCCCTAAAGATAAATATAATGGAGGCCCCTTTGGTTACTCTGTTTCATTGCATCCAACGCTGAAGACAGCCGAGGAAAGAACCGGTGCGCTTGGATATGTAGTAAAATGTTTGGGGCAGGAGTTGATTCCAGGTATACGGAATGAGGTATTAGTTATGATAAGTATGGAATATTTCAGGTTTCATCATACTTTTATATGCTTTTCTAATACCTAACTACCTAATCTATGTTCCTTGTTCATGTTCTATCAGCTATACCCTGTGGCATCATCATTTGGCGCGCCCATTTTCTTTTCATTAGAACGTGCTGCAGCTCCTTATTTTGGTATAAAGGTGCGTGGGAAAGTGCTTTGGGTACATAATTAGCGAATTTGCTTTTCAAATTTATCATAGTTACTGCAAATGTTTGAAGTCATATATTCAGCTGTTACTCTGTTAACAGTATCCAGGCCTTGTGATATTAGTTTAACTGTTATTTCTACTCTTCAAAGGCATGTTTAGCGACAATTTATCTTTTTGGGCAAAAGCCAATTTCCCCCACATACTATGTCCTCGTAGACAATTTCAAGCCTTATAGATTTCATCATAATTGAATTGGAAAATAAACCAGTCAAGTATTATTCATTGTCAAATTGAAATTGGAAAATTGAATTTGCATTAATTTTATGGAATTGAATGTTGCCAATTTTCAATCTTAGTGTTGGCATCATTTTGAAATTAATTGATGATTTGTCTTCAAACAGGCTTAGTATAACTGCACAATATTTGTTTTATGACAGGGTTTCTAATTGATAGGCCAGTTTATATCCTAAAGCCCTTGTCGGTTATAACTTTTCATCTTTGACCTGTTTTTTTCTCTTCAAAGATTAGGCTTATGGAGTCCATATGAATGGCTATGTTGAGCTGGATGGGCAGAAGCACCTATGGGTAGGGAAGAGAAGTCACATGAAACCCACATATCCCGGAATGCTTGATCATCTAGTTGCAGGAGGACTGGTTTGTAGTTTCATATATGTGTCTGTTAGGCCAATTAGAAGATCAAATCTGAGCCTTGAAGATGAATGCTAGCAAGTAGTAACACACTCTTTTCAACATATTTTCTATTATTGGGTAAATTTCATGTCGGTCCCACTAAATAGAGATTGGCGCAAGTTATTTAGTGGAACCCACATGAAATCAACCCAATAATAGAGTTTGTGTTGAAAATAGTGTGTTACCAGCATTTCTCAAGCCTTAAAATATTTAAACATTTCTTCTCAAGACCACTATTACTATATATGGAAATCATTTTTGCCTTTGGTTAGGAATTGAACAGTGTTCAACCACTGAATGAAGGAATCAATATCAGCAGCTAATAAGATCATTTTACTATTAATTATGTGTTTCCTTTAGTTCATTGTATTCATCGAGTTTGAGATTATTGCTATTGTCACAGCCGCACGGAATTGATTGTCAGGAGAATGTTGTAAAGGAATGTGAAGAGGAAGCAGGAATTCCAAGGTCCATCTCTGTTGAGTAAGTTCCCAACTGCAACACTTTCCTCCTTCTCTCCTCTAGTGCATGAATTTTGATTTTTCTTATGAGATGGTGAGCTAACTGAATTTCTTTTATAGTCAACAAATTTATTAAGTGTGTACTAGACCATTAAGAGGGTGGGCAGTGTGAAGGTGTTCCTTTGTGACCGAAAAGTCACGGGTTCAAATATAGAAAATAGTCTTTTTACAAATATGTAAGGATAAGGCTGTGTACAAGAATTGCCCTTACCCTACCCTCACAAGTCAGGGTTTAAAGGGGAGCGGTGTGTACTAGACCATTCTTTTCCAACCATAAGCCAAAATGAAAATTCTTAACAAGCAGTATTTCTCTGTGTCTGATGTCAGTAGATTGTTGTTCTCACAGAGCCATACCTGTCAGTGCTGTTTCATATGCGGACATTGATGGGTATAGATACAAGAGAGATGTTCTATTCTGTTACGATTTGAAACTTCCCAAAGGTTTCTTACCAAAAAATGAAGGTAATTAGTCATGTTCTTCAATTTTATTTATTATGTGCTAGTGGTGCTCTTTCACCCTTTGTAATGACTGGTTAAGTAATATCAGATGGAGAAGTTGATAGCTTCAAGTTGATCCCTATTATGCAAGTTGCAGAAGTCATACGCAAGACACAATTTTTCAAACCGAATTGCTCTCTCGTAATCATTGACTTCCTGTTTCGACATGGGTATTTCTTTCTTTATCTACATCTTTCCATACTTTTTTTTTTCTATTTATTAATGTAAATAATTAAATGGACGGAAGATTAAACACGCTATTGTACTTTGAAATCCTTAAATGCATTTAAAATGGTAATGTGGTCATCGTTCTATTAAGGGAATTATGTGATATATGATACGCATCTTAGGAAAACATATATTGCAATAGTACTCTATATAAGGTAACAAAAATGAAATTTCTTTTGCACTTGTTCTCTTTGTTCCCAAGATTATTCTTGGGGTGGCTCCAGGGAAAACTTATTAATTATCTGTTCTGATATTGTAGATACATCAGTCCTGAATGTCATGGATACTTGGATCTCCTACGAAGCTTAAGAATAGGAGATTGCTCTTGACACAGAACCTTCATATATATATATATATATATATATGGATTAAATGTGTGTTCTTTTAAAGAACACAAGTTGTGTCTTTTTAATTTTTAACACTATGTATTACGGGTAGTACATAACTATAATATACAAAGTTACTTTTCTTTCTCTCTCTACGACAGCTGAAATGACTGAAGAGAGAGAAAAAAAAAAGTAAATTTTCGTATTATAATCCCGTAGTAGATAGTGTTAATCACTAAAAGGACATAACCTTGTGTTCTTTTAAATGACAAACTTTTTTTTCATATATATAAATCAAGGTTCAAAGGTACGGTCATCATCATCACCGTGACAGATAAAATAAAAAAGGTTAAACTCTTGGATTGTATTTTTCCAGTAATGTCTTCGTAAACTTGGATACTTATTTTGTAATAACTTTTATTCAAGAATTGGTGAGAAAGGGTCTCATTGAAACATCAAACATATGTTCAAAGAATTATTCCATGCAAAATCTTTTGAGATTTAGATATCATCAAGTCAAAATTTCGGCGGTTTAATTTTTCTAGTTGCAACTACCACCTAAAGAAAGTAAGATATTGTTCATATCAATGTGTCACAACTCACAAATCAATTTGAGGACCAATGAAAAGGTTCATGTCAGCCTAAAGTTGAACAAATCAGGATACACTGTCCCCACTTTAATTGCCAGTTTTACCAAAGAGAGGAGATATTAATAAAAGTACACTTCCACAAAGCTAATAAACATGGCCAACTTAAAAAGTACAAATAATAATAATGAAAAGATACAACACTCTTTCCATATCATTCATCAAGAAACCATATAATTCACATACAACTACATGAGCCTATAAATTAAATCAGAAGAGGTACAACTAAGGACACAAAACATACAAACTAAGGCATGTCTAAATTTGAGTGAGGCTAAAGCCCAGAACCCCCTTAAGCACATCAACTAGCTGAAGGTGTGCAGTTAGCTGAGGAAAATGGCCAATGGTGTCTATAACTTCCATTGTAACTTTGCCTTTAATTTTCTTCTCCATGTAAAGTGCTGCACTGTGTGGAACGACCATGTCACTAGAGGTCTGAATGATAGTGCATGGAATTTCAACTTTCTCGAGTATATCTCTGTAGTCACTATAGAACACAGTCTTTGCTAAGGAAACTGCAACTTCAGCTCTCATCCTTTTGAAGCACTCTTGGACTTTGTTCACTGAGGGTTCATTATTTGGATCCGCTGCTAGTAATGAGAAGGAAGAAGCCCATTTTTCATAGTTGGACTCCATGTTCCCCAATAACTGCTCAATATCTGAGCTTGTAAAGCCCCCCTCGTAGTCATTTGTATTTATATACCTGTTTGTTATGCCAACAAGTTAGAAGGATTAATCTTGGTTTTCTTGAGAATTAAATATAGAATGATATTAAGAAGAGGTCTTAGGTTTGAGTTAATCATTAAACCATGTAGAATCACATAAATAAATAAAAATTTAAGAAATGTTAATGGTGAAGGATCTAATTAATGTGCCTGATCTTAGTTTAGGTGCAAACTCACTGTTGTTTTAGTCACCAAGAATCCAATAATAAAATTAATCAAATGTTTATATATATATATATATATATATATAGGAATAGGATCCATTGACACCGGTGTCAAATATTGAAATTTGACACCAAATCCTAACCGTTGATTTCCGTCAATCAACGGTTATCATTTATTGGGAATTAATGATTAATTAATAAGTGTAATTCTCAATAAATAATAACCGTTAGATTGGTGAAAATCAACGGTTAGGATTTGGTGTCAAATTTCAAAGTTTGACACCGGTGTCAAAGGATCCTGCCCCATATATATATATATATTCTACCAATTCATCGACTAATCTGATTGAGTCGAGTCAGACCACAATGACAATAAAATTCTTCTTATTAAGTTATTAACACAATTGTGTACTCAAAATTTGAACTCGAGACTATTAATTAAGGTGGAATAATCTTGTACTAGTTGATTAAGGTACTCGTGGTAAATGTCTTAAATTTTAAATCAACCAAAACTTTACAAGGAACATAAGAGTCATAAATATGCTTGACAGAACATCTTTAGATTTCTAAATGTAACTGACTTGGCCGGCTTATTGGTTTCTAAATGCGTGCCTGAAATAATCACAAGTCAGGAAAAGTAGGTAGCAAAGTGAAGTTTTGTTTTTCTTACGTGTCCCCACTCAAACCTGACCCATTTCTTTGATTATTTTATTACGCATTAGCACGAGTTGCATCAAACCACGATGCTGAAAAAAGATAAATCATAAGAGTACAAGAAAACTTGGATTCCTTCACCCAATCCTCTTGAGACCACATGTTTTGGTTGGTTCATGTTTTTTTTTTTTTCAATTTCGTAACTGATTGGTTCATTTTAACAGAGAAAAACTATTACGTATTCGGGATACGATCTATTCTAATGATCTTCTACCCAATCAAAAAGTTTAGGTGTGTTGCCGGTTGGATTTTGTTTATTAGCTATTGTCTCTTTTCCATTACTACTATAGATTCCTTAAGAATACAATGGAGTCCTATAAGTAGAATTTTTGGGGAGATAAATTATTCCAAGTCCCCTAAAATACGCTATTATGTAGTTATACTATTGGAGAAAAGTTACAACAGAAAGAAACAAAGTAAAAAAACAAATAGCATATCACTCAAGAGTAACCAACAGGATGATAGAATTAGTAAGACAAACAATAAAAAAAATGACAATGTTAGGAAAGGGGAATACATGGATATTAGAGTGAAATAATAGAAGGAAATGGTAAAACTGTAAAAATAATATGGAAGAGAGAAGAGGAATTGTACCAAAAGAGAAAGAAAGATCAAATGAGTTGGATATCATGCTCCGAATAAGTGTCAATATTGACTTAAAAAGTTAAAATTTGTGAATATATCTAGAAAGCTAACTCGACTCAAAGAGATAATAGAGTTGATATATCAAAATAAAATGAGTTATGCATAAAGAGAATTCCTTCTTTTCATCAACTGACTCAAGAATTTCAAATTAGTGTAAAAAATTAATAACTTGAGACTTCTTTACTCATAAGAGGAAGAGGAAGTATTTTAATCAAATCAAACGACAAGAAGAAGAAAAAACCATAAATCTATTTTGGAAATTTTCAAAGAACTATCTTAGTAACAATAACAAGTAAAAGGCTATATATATATAGACTTTTGGAGAAGAAAAACCATGAAGAAAAAAGAAGAAGAGAAAAACAAGAGTACCTTGGGGAAGCACCAAGAAGAATAAGCCTTTTAAAGAGTTCAGGCCTTTTGATAGAGGCTAAGCAACCAATGATACCAGACATAGAATGACCAAGAAAGGTGACATCTTTGAGGTCCATCTGATCCATGAGAGTGATCAAGTCATCTGCAAAAGCTTCATAGGAGGAGTACTTAACTGGGTCATAGAGGCTCTCATCTTTCACAGCTCCAGAAAAAGGCCAATCAAACAAAACAACATGGTAATTTTCAGCAAAGAAGGGAGTGATTTTGTCCCAGATAGACTGGTCTGTTCCATAACCATGAGCAAAAACTATTGCTTCAGTGCCTGATCCTTGGGTTCTGGCATTCAAAGCAGTTGAAAGCCACTTTTGTCCTAACATGTTTGGGTTAATTTTTGTTTAATATGAATGAGAAATAAAGCAGAAACTATAGGTTGAGAGAGCTAACTAGAACAGTGTGTGTTTGGGTTTTATTATTGCCAGTTGGTCTTGCTCCTATTTATAGCTGATAATAACTTTTATTTTTATTTTTATTTTTATTTTGTTGAGATATTCCAATCGGTTCATAGTTTCGTGATTAGTTCGATTCGGGACGGATTCTAGGATTAAGACTTTAAATCTCTCTCAAAAATAGTACTGGAAAAGATCGAGTACATGCTCTCATAACTTATTCCACTTGCTTTTTTGGTAAAAAAAAAAAAAAAAACATGTAAGAAATTAGTATGGATGCAATTAATAGTGTTAGGTTTTGTAATAGTGTGCTATTAAGTGCATCACCTAAGTTAAATAAGAAAAAAAAAATGATTCAAGTGATATTTATTTTACCTACTCTTTTATAGTTAATGTGATATATATATATATAAGAGTAATAGTTTTCTCATGTAGTAGGAGATAAATATTTAGTTATCTCCTACTGACTTATCTATGCAAGTGGGATCCACTTTCAGGAGGAGAGACAAAAAAGTGAGACTCATCTTAAATTTCTGTGTATAGGAGATAAATTCTATCTTATATAACATAAAAGTAATAAATCCCTATATATAATACATATTATAGGAATTATGAAGATTTCCTCCTAATTTTAGTGTGATATATTGGTTGGGCTTTTTTTCAATAAAGTAAAAAGGTACAAATTGAGGGATATTTTATAATGTATACTTGTAAAAATTATATAATATCAAAATATTGTTATGTTTACGTAAGATATTAATTTAACTTAAAAAACCTTATAATTAATATTTAATTTTTAAAAAGATTGTAAATCTTAGAATATCATGTCACATCCAGAGCCGACTCAAAGTATCGTTCCATCTAAACCTGAAAATAATCTGTGGTTTAATTTTTAAAATCCAAATTTAACCTAATTGACTTCAACCTAAACCCGATTTTGAGTTGTCCCGTGAGGGAGAAAGAAAGTTGTAACTCAATTAAGTAAAACAGCCCTATAACTTTTAGCTTATCATCATCTACACCCCAAGTTAATATCTCACTTCCTTTTGTTTATATATATATTTAAAAAGTTAAAAAGAGCAATTTCGACCCGTTATAGCAATAAAAAAATCTGTTTGACTCCTCCTGTTTATCTTTATTAAATTAAGCTTTAGCCAAAAGATTTATATAATTGCATTAAGTTGTTTCTTTGTTTAATTTCCTTTTGCACATAATTTTTATCAAAATAATTTTCAAAAAAAAAAAACAGAGAATTTATTATCAATATGTGCACTAGTTGGAGTCATTTATTGACTTAGACTTTTTTTTACCGATAGTCTTGGGTATTACTGCGGAGGTCCACATTTTAGTAGGCTACCGCTACCCACTAAAACAAAAGAAAATTAAAAGAAAATTCTAATTTTAATATCTTGAACTTTGAATTTTTGTTCTCCAGAGAGTTCTTCTACTAGCCTACAACCGTTCAATCCATTAACCTATACGTACTTTTAATTATAAATTTAATTTATTGGAAAAACGTTTATCTTTTTAAATGACACAATTCTTGTGTCACGAGTTATGTCATTTCATTCTTACAAATAAATGAGATCCACATCTTTATTTTTTTTTCCACTCCCTTACTCTTATGATCTATCTCTTTCTCTCACTTAGAGTGACATAATTTTACATCATTTAAAATGACACACACTTTTTCCTAATTTATTTTTTCTTGAATTATTTATTCTTTATATATATATATATATATATATATATATATATATATATATATATATATACTGAAAAATATTTCTACAGTTACTGCATATAAGTTATCTGCCTTTATTTCTAAAACGATGTCGTTTTGGGATTGAAATATTAAATAATTTAATTATAAAGACTATAATAATTCTGAAATAAATTAAAACTACAAAAACACCATGATTTCTGCTCCAAAATAACGTCGTATTGGACTTACTGCAAATAACTTATCTGCAATAACAGCAGAAAGAGCGAACCCATATATATTTGTTTGTTAAAAAAGAAAAAGATATTTTTGATTTCCTGTTCCTCATGTGTGACATGCTTTATTTTAACTTAAAATATTCAAAATAATTATTTATAAAAAAAATTTTCATATGGATAGAATATGAATGTTTTTACTTTTTAATATTTGCAAATTAATTTTTGCAGAAAGACTAAATAACAATCTTTAGTTGTGAACTTGTTTTTTAAAGTTTTTTTTTTTTTGATAACAAGTTTTTTAAAGTTTAGCTTTTATTCTACTAGAGTATATATATATATATAGCAGAGCGGATTCTCCCCGTACATCGATTTTAAGTCTCATAAGAATATTTATTTCTTAAGTGACATAGTATCCAATATTATAATTAATTATTTCTTAAGAGAGTTGTTCCCTATATAAATTCAACAATATTAAAAAAATAGAGTAACCGATAATATCAGGTCGCACGATATAACAAAATATTAAGAAAATCACACATCAATGTCACCAGCAAAGACGGTTTAAATTATATTTAAATAGTTAACCACACATCTCATTTTATATTTAAGGGTTTAATATTTTTTATGTTATAGGAGATAAATTTATTTTCTAGACACACCTAAAATGTGTAGAACTCATATTTTTTCTTTCTTTCTCTTTATTTTAATGAGTCTCATCTACTTTTTTTATGTGTTACTTGAGATAAATTATCACGTGCATCATGATAAATATGTTTTCCTATATTTAAATCGTTGTCTACTGCATTAAACAATTTCTGAATAAAAAAAACCAATAACCAAGAAAAATAAATAATGAAAGCGTGATAGCTTCTAAGAAAACTCTTCGTATAAATTATTCGATCAACAACATCCTGGATTTGAATTCTCTTATATGAAAAAAAAATGATATGATCGTGTGAAAAGATCATAATTATACAAATGTGAATCAACAGTTATAATTTTGTAATTATATATTTTAATATTTTTTTCTCTCTTTTTTTATACCATTCATCCATCTTTATATGATTATAAGTTTTTATATGACCATGTCATGCTTTTTTTTTTTTTTATTAAAAGGTAGATCTACAAGAAGATTGATTAACTTTGATTTAAACTAAAATAAACCCTACCCATGTGTAAAATAAATTATGTTGTGCGGAAAATCATAACCTAATCCAATGGTCATCGTTTACCATAATGGTTGTTGCCTTGTGGGGACACATATTAAAATTTTAAAAGAAAAAAAGGACAGAAAAGGCACCGTTTGTCGTGTTATGCTGATAGCGCCGTGACACTTAGTGGGAAGTTGAATATGTCCAATGCTAACCTTTTTCTGCCATTAAAGTTTTTATATTTGCCATTAAACTTCACGCCTTACTCTATTGTTATTATTATTATTTTTGGTGGGGACCCCTTACTTTTTTTTTTATTCCTTTCCAATTAAGCAACTGCTGGTACGTGCACCCAAAAATAACTGTATAGTTTATTCCAATTTTCACATTATGGTAACGATATTCTCACACATTTTTAAGACAACTTTTTTTTTTTTTTGGTAAATACATTCTTAAGACAACTTAATTATTGCACTGCTTGCTAGTTTCTCTGTCTCTTAGTTTAAAAAAAATTGTTATTTTAAAAATTCTAATTTATTTCTTATTTATAAAATTCAATAAAAAGCTAAGGAAAAAATGTTTGTGTTTTATTTGATATTTAAATTAAAAAGATATTTCATTTTCTCATCATAATTTCTATTTCCCTCACCATAAAATACAATAACTTTGATTAAAATAATATAATTATATGTATTTAAAATGATAAATATTAATCTCAAAAACTAAATTGGATTAGGATTTTAAAAGAATTTTTTGAGATAAAAAATCTTATAGATTTTAAAAAACTACTCAAAATTTGAGAGACTTTAAAGACTTTTTTTACAATCAAGATTTCGTAAGATTGGATTTTAAAGAATTTTAATAGAATTCAGAAGATTTGAAATGACAATATGGATTTTTAAGATTTTAAAAACCATATGAATTTTTAACGAACATTCAAAATTACAAAAGTCAATAAAAAAAGTTAACAAAGAAATGCAGTGATATCAATAAAAAAAGTAAAACGTAATATAATTTTCTCAATTAGTAAAATTTATGATAAATTTTCATTTGGAATTTTTTGCAATTAATCTTGTAAACCTTGGAGTTTTTATTCTACGTGATGAGAGTTTTCTAACCATATGTCATATGTATGTTTTCATTGAGTATTCTAAGAAAATTTTGAATCTGAATTTATGGGTTGTATTACATGAAAGAATAGAAAATTTCTCAAATTATTTTCAATCGATACATTGAAATCTTAAATTGTTTTGGAGGTTTTGAAAAATAAAATTTTAGTTATCTATTGACACAAAAATTGTTTGAAATCGTTTTCTATATAACAAAGGAATTTCGTTCATGTAGTGGATCCTTCTCCGGACCGTGTTATTTGGGCAGGTAGCCATGATGGGGTTTTTTTCAGTGAAATCAGCTTATAACTATCTTATGGGTACCTTGCATTATCATCAAGATAGGATTTGGAAGGTAATTTGGGCTTGGCCTGGTCCTGAACGTATTAGACAATTCTTATGGCTTCTCTACAGAAGTTCTCTTTTAACTAATGTTCGTAGAGTGCATCGTCACATGGCTACAGATGCAGCGTGTCTGAGATGTCATTATAATCTTGAGGATAGTTTACATGCCATTAGAGATTGTTCTGGTGCCAGGGAATTATGGGAGCATTGGGTTCCTTCTGATAACCGTAGTGACTTTTTCTCCATGGATCTTCACCTATGGATTCAGACAAATCTAGGATTAAAAGGTCCGTTTCAAACTGATCGAACTTGGCCTTTGTATTTTGGGGTGATAGCTTGGTGTTTGTGGGGCGAAAGAAATAAGGAGATCTTTGATCAAACTAGCACCTCGAAGTATGGTCTCATTAG